TAAAAAATTCAACATAATGATGAAAACGAAATAATTTAATTTGTTCCAGAGGCTCGACAGTTTGGAGTCTCATTGCTGATGGATTTAATCCATTGTGTTGGTACACCAGCCCTCATACTCTACAGTTCAACGGAACTAAAGAAGAAAGCTAAAAGAATCATGGGACTTCAAGATTAAACAGACAGAAAACTTTAGAATGAGATATCCTTCATCACGATAACTTAATCTGATTAATTTTCTTCTTAATCCTACTGTATAAAAGTTACGTTGATAACAATTACACATACAATGCTATATCGATTGGACTAATATCCGATTGAATTAAAGTCAGCTGTTCACAAGCCGGCTTTTAGAGCATAAAAACAAATATATTTAATCATGTTAATATGAAATTATTAAATACATATTTTAGGACTATTGTCATTTTGAACGTTGGTCTCAATAAATATGAATCCAAAACTTAAGTGCGTTCAATCGATGTTTAGTTCTATTGATATGACACCATCAACACCAGAAATCAAAACCGGTTTTTCGAAAGTTATAGAGTACATCTTAACATGAATTAAATTTTTAACTTCTTTCTTGGATATTGAATGCGTTTAAAAATAATCTTTTAAGCATTAATCTTGATATCCACCATTCTAAAGTTTTCAGCTTTGTGCGCCCATATCATATTAGAATAAGCTGGACTAAAGACAGAACTTCCGCTCTAGAACCAGTTTTTGTGGCAAAGAGAACATACATAGGCAATTTTGAACATAAAATCTAAATAATTTTGTTGCTGTATCGTCCATACATGTAGACAATCTTAATTGTTTAAAAAATGTAATCCCTAAGTATTTAACCTGTGCTGTATCAGAATCATAAATTACAGAATTTAAAAGAAACCTGCACATTTAAATCTTATAATCCAAAAAAGAAATATTATAGAATAAATTTGTTAAAAGCGAAATATTTAAAGTTGGAAGCCCTTGATAAATGTTGAAACCTTTAATGTCCAAAAAGCAAAATAGATATTTAGAAGCTCACTTGAATAACAGCAACATTTTTTACTTCAAATATCTAATTTTAACCTAATATTTGCTATTCGGCTGAAAGTCTGGTATTTTTTAAAAATCTTTAAGGTCATTTAGTGTGTCTAAAAATTATCAACATTTCTAACAAAATATTTGAAATAAATGATGAATAAAAATAAATATATAAAAGTGTTTGTTAAGAAATACCGTAAGAAGATTAGGATGATTCTTATAAATAATTTGGATGCAGAGAACTTGACTAGATAAATTTATAAGTGGGCATACATAAAGGTGGCAAGATATTCAAAAAATAAGAAAAGAATTTAGTTTATCATTATTATTTTTATCTTTGTATATTTTATAAAACTTGTTAAAATGTTAATTCAAATTTCAATAAATGGTCAATAAAGCCAATCACTTTCAAATTTCCTATTTTTTTTTTGTCCAGGTAAACTTGATAGCATGATGTGAATGAAAACTATAAAACAATTTTAAAGTCATCTCTAAATTCCCATGCATTGGGACACACTTATTTTGCACGAAAATTAAATAATTTTATATTTTCAAACCAAGCAACCTCTTTTTTTTCTGAACCATCCTCCAACCATATTCATTCGAGCAGCAACCCATGGAAGACGAACTCCTCCAAGTGATTTATTGACCTCTAGGCCATCTGTTCCAACCTTGCCTCCGAACCCCAGAAGATGTGCCTCAACATTTCCATTTCTAACTCCAGCACCTGTGTTCACAATTAAATCTTCATGGACATCAACAGCATTTCCAAAATTTGCCTCTGCCCTAACAAGAGAAGCATTGGCAACAGCAAATATACCTTCAGGGCCCGCTGAAGCTTCTGCGACTGCGGATGGTAAGCGTAGACCTTCAGGAATCCAGCCTGTAACTTGACCACGATATTCTCCCATTGATGAAACAGCATGTTCCCTCATGTGCAACAGCATGGGTAAGACTATTTGTTGTATTGATCCCACCAGCAGCATCAGACCCAATGGGAAGATGAAAGTAGTTATCAGTCAGCCAAGTTATTGAAAATTGGCTTCAGAAACACCATAGGATGTTTTTTTACAATCCTTTTTTACAATACACCTTGAACTGAAGTTTTCTATGTCTTCATTTCATTTAATTGTTTTACCAACAATTGTTCCTCCAAGAGCCCCTGCTCCACTTTCAGCACTCCAACTGGAACTTTTCTTGTTAAGTTTGTTTTCTCTTTTCTGTGATAATCATTCTCATACCAGTCCTCACTTGAATCGCTGATTTGAACTCCCACAGCCCAATGATGTCCAATTCCTCCAATATCCCAAGCTTTACATAACGCATCTTTAACTGCACTTTCCGCTACAGTAATGATATTTAAACTTATTCTGTTTATTCGAAGAGAGTGTTAAAAAATGAATGTGGGGCGGATCCAAATCAGATTTATTTTTACTTCAATCCAAAGGAAAAGAAACGACACTCTTATTTAAAAATCACTTCCATGGGACTAGATGACATAAAAGCGAGAATCATGTATGTACTGTCACGAAATTCAATTTCAGTTCTCTTGTGCTCCATGATAAAGAGAACAAGAAGTGGTTCAATTTAAACTATTTAGTTCAACTACCTATCCTATTCCAGAAATCTTGTCCCTGGACTGTTATTGAATTCTTTTGAAAACTCATTGACAGACTGGCTACGTAAGGTAGTTGAACTGAGTATGCAGTGTCGTGGAAAAATTCTTTAGGATTCATTTGGGACATATAAATCTTTTTAATCTTGGGTTTGAGCTCAAAGTCGACGTTCAAAATCGTACTTTTGGGTGGATACGTTTTCAGAATTGTTTTTTAAATTATGAAATAACGACGATAAAAAATGTAAACAAAATTCTACTGTAAACTAATTAGTTGTTTAGGAACAGGATGATTAGTTTCTATTTTCTCATAACTCTAGTTTCTCATTATTCACAAAGATTTTCTGCAGATTTTCTGGCATTATTATTGAAAAGACGACATTTGAAGAATTTGTAGAAATCTGCAAACAAATTCATAGAAAATAAGAAATTCAACATAATGATGAAAACGAAATAATTGATTCTAGTATTGATTTATTGACTAATTTCTTTTAAGAAATATGTTCCTAACAATCTAATTGGTTTACTGTATAATTGATACTTTATTTTTCGTTATTTAATAATTTAAAAAAACAATTCTGAAAACGTACCCACCCAAATTCATGATTTTGAACATCTGCTATGCACTCAAACTCAGTTATCAATACATCGTGGAAAATTTGTATATGTCTCAAATGAATCCTAAAGAATTTGTCCACAACACGGCATACTCAGTATAACTACCTCATATAGCCGGTCTGTCCCTTTAAAACATAATGTTGTCAAGAACTGTATGTAATAAATGTATACCCCCCCTTATAATCTATCTTGATATTCAACACTTGGTATGATAAGTATATAAAGACCATGGATATATAATAGATGGATAAATCATAGTCAAGGTTTGATGTAATTTTTTCGCTGGGGTGTTATGCAGTACGTTAGACATTGGACCCTGGAACTTACAATTTGTTTTTGGTTTTCGTAAAAATAATAGATTTCAAAGTAGTATAGGAAAGCATTGTAAGTCTTTAAAACTTGATAAGATTTAGCTTCCTTCTTTGTATTAAAAAAATTGTTGGAGATACTAAAGATTTAAACAACCTTGCTGATTTTTAATATTTTGAATTTTAAACAAATTTCTCAATATCTTGGTCAATTTTTTAGGTACAAAAATGGCAGACCACATTTTGGAATTCTGAAAACAAGGCGCCTGCTACCAACTTTTTGAAGAAAATGCTATGTTCACAAGATTTTAGTTATAGTATCTCAGTTCTGCTTACTCCAGGGCCCACTATCTACCAAAGTTCTTCTCTAATTTGGACCCTGAACTTCACTTCAAACTTTTTTAAAAGTACAAATTATTTTTATAGAATGAACAATAGCCAGAATAAAAATTTGTTATAGTAAAACCTAAAATTTCCTATGCAGAGGTTTTAGAAATTTCCTAAAAATATCTAGGGTCCACTGAGATATAACAGCTGCGTAGCCCACCGACAAAGTTACATGTACACTAGCCCAGAATAGTATAGATCGGTAGATAGAAGCATACATATAAGCGGGCCGTGATTAAGACTCAGATGATTAAGAATTTTATCTAAATATGAAGATCCAAAGAGATAAGAAAAATGCTGTAAAACAATGTTTGTGAATTATAATTTCAGTTGGGTATATGTGAGAGGATCAAAGATCTTTTTTAGCTAAACACCTTTTAAAGATATGATGTTCTTTGTAAACAGAAAATAAATTTAAAGATTACGCTGGGTTAATACAAGAATATATTTTGTAAGAATAAAAGTTTAAACCTACAAATGGAGTACCCGTCTGCAAAGCATGTATAATCATATGGTACGGCGAACCGCGTCATATATCTCCCTTCTATTCCTTACTCCCTGGACTCTGCCCTCAACAAGACCTGTGATTCTGCATGCCTTGCTGTGTTCATGATGTCTCAGTAGTTGGTAGTTAGTCCTGAAAATTTTACTTAGAAGTACATGAACGTAAGTTCAAAGACTCCCCAGTCCCTATCCCTCCTTACTCCCTGGTCACTATATCTCCTCCTTGGTCCCTATCCCTTCTCCCTAGCTGGTCCCTATCCCTCCATCTCTGGTCCCTAACTAGGCCGGCTACCTATTTCTCCAAATGAGAAACTCTCTCTCCTCTACTCTATATTTCCTCTAAAGATCCGATCTTGACACATGTCCCCTGGCCCTTGAATGCCCTGAATACCGCGTCAATATCTCCACGGATTCGGATAAAAGCGCGGCATGAATAAAAACCGCGCCAAATTTTTCCACTTCCATGAAAATTCCGAGGAAGACGATTCTATTGAATTGTAACGGCGGGAGGGCGTGACATGCCGGCAATCAAAATAAATATTTAACAAAGTTCCCATATCAAATACAGGGGGACCTAAGAAATACGAATCTTTTATCAAATACAGGGTGACCAAAAGATTAAAACGTTATTTCCATATACAGCATATACAGGGTGAGGTAGAAAATATAAAATCAGAGTCTTCATCTAATACAGGATTATCTAAAAAAACATTCATC